TTAATTTGTTCTTATATGACTTATATTTTTCTTCCGCCTTCTTTGATCTGTCCTTTATAAATTGTTTATATAACACATTCTTCTTTTTACATGCATTCTGTAATCCCTTACTCATCCACGGTTTCCCACTGTAATTCCTCTTGTTTTTATACTGCTTACGAGGACAGTTCCTGTCATATACTCTCTTAAATATATTTAAAAATTGCTCATATGCTTTGTCTAAGTCTTCCTCTTTGTAAACTGATTGCCAGTCTTGCCCCATAACTTAGTTTGCAAAATGCCCTAAAGCAGGGGTGGCCAATTCCAGTCCTCGAGGGCCGCTGTCCTGCTTGTTTTCCAACTATCCCTGCCTGACCTGCTGCTGATTACCTGGCTCAGGTGTGTTCAGCCAGTCAGAAGCTGGAAGATACCAATTCACTTTCTTTCCTCACTCCACTTTCATCTAAGATGGTATCTTCCACCTTCTGACTGGCCCTCGAGGACTGGAGTTGGCCACCCCTGATCTAAAGTCAGAGATCAAAGTTGCATCACCTGTTGTCACCACAGTAAGTAGTGAAGTGGGTACATTACATCATACAGCAATGCACCTGCAGACGACGTAAGATGGAGTGAAATGACAAGATGATGGAAACAGGTAAAAAGAAATGCGACCGATCATAAAATGGGAATATGAGAAGAGTTAGTTGAGACCATCTGTTCCTGTCAGGCGTGTGTGTGGGTGTTTAAAAGGCGGAACACTAAACATGACCCGCTGTTGCTGTGGTGACTCTTTTACAGGACGAACATCCAGCTGTTCCAGAAACAGCTGTGGTTGGAATCCCACATGACATAAAAGGAGAAGGTGAGAATTCACACTCAGGTAACGCATTGATCTGAGCTCCCATCATCCGCTGTGGCTGCTGCTTGTCACACCCCCACCCTCCCCACGTGCTTCCGTTTCAAAATTCGAAGATTCTTTTCACTTGTAAAATGTTCCTTTTTGTCCCTTTCAAAATAAGTCACCATGTGACCTGGTGATGAACAGTGCTGGGATGTTTTGGAGAATAAAACGTTAACTCTTCACTTCAGCTCCCCGTGTTCATTGTATACGCAGCAGATGATGAAAATAAGTCAGTTCGTGGTGGAACTGGTGCATAAACAGGTCACATTTATTTTGTGATAGATTACAAAGAAATGTACAAAAGAAGTTTAGAATTACTGTATTCTCCCTAATCTTTACTGGATTGGTTCTTTATTGCACTTATTTGTTTTATTTAATTAGTTTGTTGCTTTGTTTTCATGGACTCTGAGCCGTTATTCGATGACTCACGTTATTTTGCTAATGTTGAATTTTCTTATATATTGTGTGTGTGTGTGTGTGTACGCGCGCCCGTGCGCTGTGTGTGTGTGTGTGTGTGTATGCGTGCCCGTGCGCGCTCTCTCAGTGCCATTTGCCTTCGTGGTTCTGAAGGAGGATCTTGGCGCAGAAGCCCACGTTGTCCTACAGGAGCTCCAAGACCTCGTCACCACTAAGATCGCCAAGTACGCCGTCCCGGAGCACTTCCTGGTGCGTTCCAACACTCACGAGTCAGGCCAGCTGTTCCCCAGTGGAGGTCCAGGACACAGACCAGGTTTAATCAGGTCCCCTGGTCCTGGTCTGGCTGCTACTCGGGTTCACGGTGCTTGTTGTCAGACATTCGCTAATAAGTTTAGTTTGGCTTCTCTTATTAACACAGATTTCTATAATTATGGATATTCCATAATCTAAAATCAATATTACTAGCTTTTTAAATTTTTTTTATTTTTTTTTTGCTAAATACATTGATCAATATTTAAACACATAGATCATTGCTCTTCCAGTAGATCAGACACATTCCACCCTTTAAACTGACACTGAAAACTAGATAATAGTAGCAAAAGGAGTATTCAGATATTTTACTTTAGTAAAAGTACTAATACCACTTTGTGGAAACATGTAAAAGTCCTGCATTAACAATGCTACTGAAGTACAAGTATGTATGTAGTATACCTAAGACTGTAAGAAGTATAAAGTGGCAGCAAATGACACAAGTACAGGTACCTCAAATGTGTACTGATGTGCAGTACCAGCACAGTACTTCAAATGTTCCACTGATGTTGACACCTATCAGCCAATCAGAATTCACTATGTCCTGTTGCCATTGCTAACAGTCGCTATTGTCTCTCAGGTGGTGACACGACTGCCAAAGACTCGCTCCGGGAAGATCATGAGGCGGATCCTGAGGAAGGTCGCCATGGAGACAAGCGGCGATATCGGCGACGTGTCAACTCTGGATGACCCGTCTGTTGTCATGGAGATCGTCAAGGCCCATGAGTTTTACAGGAACCAGCAAAAACAGCAGGAGAAGAAGAAGTAGGAGGGAGGATGAGGAGGAGGGCACCGGTACAGGTGATGTCATGGTTCCTCAGGTAAAGATGATGTCATCATGATGTCGTCTGCCTCGTCTACAGGTGACATCCCTCCTCAGGTGACCTGGTGGTGCTGAGAAGCAGCTGGTTGCCCTGTCTCCAGGTGTTTTAGCTCTGCCCACAGTGAAACACCTGAACACCATGGAAACAGTTACAGCCCTTCTTCTTCTCCTCCTCCTCCTCCTTCCCCTTCTCCTTCCCCCTTTCATCCCACAAACAACGATGCTGCAGCTCAGGTGAGGAGAGTTTCAGTCTCCTGCTCTCCAACTTTTCATGCATGTGTCCTGTCAGGCTGCTCTTTGGAAGTCGAAATAACCTGGATTCATTTTCATCCCCGTTAACGGAAGCTATCACCATAGAGAGCCAAGCAGGTTTCTGTTTGTGTGGTGGAAATGTTTTCAAGATCCATGCCACAGATTACATCTATTTTAACCTCCTGCCTCCGTGTTCAGTCGGCCTGTGAGCCCACAGAGCTCAACGGAAAACACACTTTCACATGTTGCTGTCGTGCTTCACCTGGTTTTCATCTGGTCTTGACTCTGCACATGTCGTGGTGTCAGAACAAATCCAGCTGACACAATTTTCTGATATTTGTCCCAGAGCATGCGTGTACGTCAAAAACACAGCATTTAACCAGGCCACACTATAAACACAGTATTTTAGGCCAGACTGCTGCAGAGCAATCGGTTTGTTTTGAGAAGATTACATCACCCTTAACGCCTCTGAAACTGAATCAAATGTCTAATAGTTAATTGACTGTTCAACAGTTTTTATTTCAACTTTTTCCTTCTCCAAGTGCCTTTTTATTGAACGCTACACCAAAGTGCCTTCAGAAAGAAAATGTTTTAGTTCTAAGATCTGATTTATCTTTTTCTTAAAATGTTCCTCTGAATTTTACAAAATGAACTGAACTGAAAAAACCTGGGGGAGGACACCAGTTTGATTTTAATGTAGAAATCTGTGGGAATCGTGACAGAACTTTCCCATCACAAATATTGGAAACACGCAGCTGCAGAGCCTCAGTTTCTGACTTTATCAGGTTCATTTTCAGATATTCATTGTTGTTCATATGGCTCCAACCCTCCTCAGATATTTTTCATTTACCACAGGAATAAATACATGAACAAAAATGTTTAATCTGTCATGTGTTGACAAGTTTTTTAAAAAGTATTTGTTGTCCATGTACGAAAGTGTGAACTGGATCAGACACTGTGATACAGACGTAACTGTATAAAAATAAAAATGTCATGAACTCGACTGTTTTGTGGGAAGGTTTCACAGGGATCATGAAGAGAAAACTGAACTGACTGAATCATCAATGGGAGAAAAAAACACCAGTAAAATCTATGCAGTCAAACCTGGAAATGAAATGAGATTTATATAAGGCTTCATTTATGGCTTTGTATTTTAGTTTTATATTTTGAAAAAATAAAATGAAATTTTACATTAGTGATTAATTTTGAGTGAATTGAGGTCGTTTTGAATATAATTTAATCTCTTGTAAATATATAACCTATAATTTATTTCATTTCTTAGATTTAGTTAGCGTGTTAAAAATTAGGCATTTTCAGAGTTTATTTATTGCTAAAAATAAGGAGTTCACATATGATTTCTATATAATCAGGATCAGCTTTATTGGCCAGGTGTGTCGGACACAAGAGGAATTTGACTCTGGTACATGTCCCCATGCAAAGGGCAAGTAAACAGTAAACCAGCATAAGGCTGTGTAATATAAAAACAGGCAGTAAACGATGCAGACAGACAATGGAATGCTCATTGTGAAATGGGATAAGTAGGAATAAAAATAGAGTGCTTAGAAATAGAGACCTGTGTGGTCTCTAGTCGTTTTTAAAATAACGAAAGAGATAAAACTATTAGCCTCCTGTACATTTAATTACTTTTTGTTTGTTTGTGCTCCAAGAAGGTTCTGGGTTCGAGCCCTGGCCGACCCGGGGCCTTTCTGTGCGGACTCATGTTCTCCCTGTGCCTACGTGGCTTCTCTCCGGCTTCCTCCCACAGTCCAAAGACATGCAGCTTAGGTTGACTGGCGACTCTTAGCTGCTCGTAGGAGTGAGTGTGAGTGTGTGTGTGTGTGTGGTTGTTTGTCTACATACAGCCCTGTGATGGACTGACGACCTGTCCAGGGTGGACCCCACCTCTCGCCCAGTGTGAGCTGGGATTGGCTCCGGGCCCCCGCGACCCTATTCAGGATGAACGGTGTAGTTCAGTGGTTCTCAAACATTTTTTGTCATTCCCCACTTAAGAGGGTGGGCAAATTTTCAAGCCCCACTTCCCAAAAAATGATAACAAAATCGGCCAATTTTTAAATTTAAAATGTATTGAAATACCAAATAACACCAAGTTCAAAACAGATAAAATACAAGTGTAACTATCGTTTGACAGAGGGATAGTTTTCAATCTTGCAGCACTTTTCTCATCTCACACCATGTCTACAGCAGCAGGGAGAATGAGCTGCTCAGCTATAGTGTGTGGTTTTTGCACTGTGCAATTCTGTATGCAACTTTGAATGAAGCCATTTGTGCTTTGCTGTTCACTGATGTGGATTTTACCATGCGATTTTTCTGCTAACGGTATTCTGCCAGCTTTCTTTTAAAGAAGGTGAGTGATTTATTAACGTGACTGGGGTGTGTTGTCTCTAAACGTCTTAATTGGTTGGGTCTCAAGCTGTCTGCTGCCAGCGGTTTAAGACACAAGACACACATGGGTCCCTCCTCTGCCCCCATTATTCCCACCGTGAATCAAAGCGCAAGATAGGCTTCATCATATTTTCTTTTCAGCTGGCTTTTTGGTTGATAAGGCTACTGCCTGTTGTTTCTTTGTCTGCTTGCGCTGAATCGCCTGTTTTTTTTTTTTTGTGGTCCATGTAAAAAATTTATCCATTTACGTTATTATGCCCACTACATACACTATTGGTCCTCTCTGTGAACGTTTCCTTATATTGTTGCGCGGCAGTTAACATGCCGACGTTAAACCGTTATTGTTGAACTATGGTTCCACTTTTTTCTCCCGGGCCCCGAACTGATGTTATTTTAATTTACTTGTATTAATGACCCATTTCTAATTTTCTCCGTTCATTGCGCCCCACCTGTCATGTCTTTATTCCCCCATAATGGGGCGCGCCCCACACTTTGAGAACCACTGGTGTAGATAATGGATGGATGTTTGAGGTCCGTTCGGTAGGGGGCGACGTGTGGACATATGTTACGACCTGTCGTAAAGCCTGCCGTAAAGCGTCCCAACAGCAACAATATAAAGTGGTCCCATATAAAGTTGAGCTTTTCTGTTGTTGTTGTTTTTTTTTAAAAATTAATTTAAACTTTATTTGATGTTTTAATAACATGTCGTCACTGCAGCAGCTGGTATCTGTCGTCATGAAGGAGTTCACGTTGGCGGCGATGACTGAAATCTGTCGGAAAGTGAAACCTGAAGACTCCCAGACTGAGGTCGGTTATCACAGACCGAGATGCATAATGCATTGATCATTTAATTCCAATAGTGGAGAAAGAACTCAGATCCTTTAGTGAAGTAAAAGTAGCAGTGCCACATTGTAAAAATACGAGTAAAAGTCCTGCATTCAAATTGTTACTTATTATTATTTTACTGTTACTTAAGTAATAGTAATATAAGGATATACTTCAGGTATATAAGTTATATACCTGAACTACCAAAGTACCAGTACTCGTCCAGCAGAACGGCCCGTGTCCCAGTAATGTCTCTGATACTGGATCATAGTGACTAATTACTGTGTCCATCACTTTAATGCTGCAGCTGGTAAAGGTGGAGCTGATGGTAACTACCTTATATACTTATACTGGGAAGTACTTTCCATCCTGCTGGGTAGCTGGTGGATTTCCTACTGGGATCAATAGAGTCTGATGGTTCTACTGGGTTTGGTTTGATTCATCTGATTCTGGACCTGAAGGTATCAGGTACATGTAGTGTAGTAAAAAGTACACGGTTTGTCTCTGACATGGAGTCACAGGATGAAGCAGCAGGACATGGAAATACTCAGTTGAAGTACAGGTACCTCAGAATTGCACTTAGTTACTTGATAAACGTAAATGTAGTGAATTACTCTACCCCACTGATGATCTGTATTTAGGACAGACTGAGGGCAGTGTGTTGGAGACAGGAGATGTTGTATGAACTGGGGACAGGCTCACTGTCTGTTTGCAGTAGATGTTTTTCTTCTTCTATCTTCACAAATGTGATCCGAGTTTACAAACAACTGTATGTAGGTCTGACTCTCTGATAGAGAGCAGCTGCTGTGTGGCCTTTTCCTAAGCTGGAACACCAGAGGATATTTTGCCCTAACTTCTCTGGAGATGGTGTATGTGTTGAATTGGCTGGACATCAGTCCCAGTGGAGGCTTTGGTGTGAATCTTTACCCACTGCTTGGCAGGACAGGTGTGTTTTGGAGAGATTTCTGTGAATTGTTTACCCCTCTGTCTTTTTTAACATCACCTGCTTTGTCAAACTTTGCCAGTTTTATTTGTGTGTTGGCAGAATAAATGGAGAGACAGCACAAAACATCAAACTGTCATGACAATAGAATGGGCTGAAATAAAGCCTTTCTAAATGTGTGTGTGCTGTAGGAGGAGCTGCTGGCTGTGATGAGGAGACTTTGTGAGGCTCTGCTGCAGGAGCTGAGGAGGCTGCTGGATCAGCACCAGGAGCTGGAGGATGGTAAAGACTTGGACCTTTATGAACCACGTCCACTCCTCCATATTTGTCCCTGACAAGTTGAACTTTCTCTCTGCAGGCTGTCCATCACGCCCTCAGGATGCTGCAGTCGAGCCTCAGCCGGACACCACGCCTCCTACAACAGAAAGAGACACTCAGGTGGAGGTGAACGGCCAATCAGATGCTCCTACAGGTGTGTCCAGCCAATCAGAGCAGACCCCTACAGTAGGCAGCAGACAGACCTTCAGCTGCAGCGTCTGCAGCAGCGCCTTCTCCCGACGCTCCAACCTGGTGGCTCACCTGAGGGTCCACACACGAGAGCGCCCCTTCACCTGTTCCCTTTGTGGGAAAGGCTTCTCCGCCCACAGCAGTGTCCGAGTCCATCAGCTCACCGTGCACAACAAGTATAGGCCGCACAGGTGTTCGCACTGCGGGAAGGTGTTTGGCACCCACAGCCACCTCAGGGCACACCTGATGCCCAGCAGCCAGCCACTCACCTGTTCTGCCTGTGGAGAGATGCTGGCAGCGAGATGCATCCTCAGACAGCACCGCCAGACCTGTCAGAGGTCAGACAGGGCCGCCGAGTGCGTCGAGTGTGGGAAGAAATTCTCCAAGCACAGTTACCTGTCAGCTCACCGGAGAGTCCACCTGAGTGATAAACCCTTTAAATGTCCGACCTGTGAGAAAGGCTTCACCACACGCCGCAGTGTCCACGTGCACCAGCTGAGCGTCCACAGAGGACTGAAGCCATTCATCTGCAGCATTTGTATGAAGATGTTCAGCCAGCGGAGTGGTCTCCGAGCTCACCAGAGGACACACACAGGTGAGCGTCCACACACCTGCGACCAGTGCGGGAACACTTTCTCCAGTAGGAGCAGCCTCTCAGTCCACCGCCGTGTGCACACTGGAGAGAAGGCCTTCAGCTGTGACATCTGCGGGAAGAGCTTCAGTGTGTCAGGCAACCTGCGCCGACACCGCTTCATCCACTCGGGCCGCCGCTCATTCAGCTGTGATGTGTGCGGCCGGAGCTTCACACAGGCCGGACACCTGAAGGCACACCGTGGTTTGCACAGTGGAGAGTGGGCATTCATCTGCAATGCCTGTGGGAAGGGCTTCAGACAGCGCAGTGCACTGCTGCTGCACGAGAGGAGCCACAGTGGTGTCAAACCGTACAGCTGCAGCCAGTGTGGGAAAAACTTCTCCTCATCCACGGCGCTGAAACGCCACCAGGTGGCGCACAGCGGGCAGAGAGCTCACACCTGTGAGGAATGTGGGAAGAGCTTCACAAGTGCCCAGGTCCTGAAAACACACCTGCAGCTGCACAGCGGCAACAAACCATTCTCCTGTGACGTGTGCAGCCGCGGATACAGCTCGCTGAGCTACCTGAAGGTGCACCGACGCACCCATTTGGAGGGGAAACCCTTCAGCTGCCCTCAGTGTGAGAAAACCTTTGCCACGCAGGCGAGTGTGAAGCTGCACCAGCGCACGCACAGTGGTGAGAAGCCGTTCGTCTGCGAGGTCTGTGGCAAAAATTTCAGTGTGTCACAGAACCTTGTCAGACACAAGCGCGTTCACAGCGGAGAGAAACCATTTGAATGCAGCGTTTGTGGGAAGAGATTCAGTCAGACCAACAACCTGAAGTCTCACCAGCTGGTTCACACAGGACAGAAACCGTTCAGCTGCTCCGCCTGCAGCAGGAGCTTCACCTCCACCAGGAGCCTCAGGGAACACAGGTGTGTCGCTGCTGAATGAAGCGCAGGAAGCTGACCGAGGACTGGTGTCGGAAAGCTGTCCCAAACCTGGCCAGACACGGTGCAGAAAGTCCCCGAGCTTTGAAGGGCCTCAGACAGGATGTGGTTATGATGAATGTGTCACCTGAGAGCTCACAGGCATTTCAGGGTCTGGGGAAACATCAGTGAATGAAGTCAAAAAGCAGAAGATTCAAAAGCGGTTCACAATGGGAGCTGGTTTTGGTTTGAAGTCGCTCCTCCAGATTCAACCAGGCCTCAGTGCTGATGCTCAGAAACTGTGAGCACGGAGCTGCACAGGAGTCCAAGAGACAACATAAATCTGAATGTATCTTTTGAGTTTAGCTTTAGTTTCTTGTTAATGAGGAAACCACAAACTGCAAGACATACAGGGAATTTACTGGGTATCTCTTTATCACATATAAAGAAATAATGAGTGTTTGGTTAGGGCGCCCTCTGGTGGTTTGGAGCAGTTCTCAGTTTGAATTAGTTTGAATAACTGTGCACTAAGATAGAAACCAGACATTTTGCCTATATATTTATTCATGTCTACAGTCTGGATTTTATTTTGGTGGTGCCCTGCATCTTTCCCATCAAGTTTTCCTCCACAGCAGAAGTCCCTGAAATGATCAGAACATTTATTTTTCCATGAATGAAAAGCTGAAAATATTAAATCTTTGGTGAAATTTTGCAGTGTGCAGATCATATTCTTTTGAGCTGAGAGCATGTGACCAGACTGAGTGGAGGATGAAACCAGCAGCGACACATTTCCAACCTGTTTCACCCATTTTAACTATTTTGTTTCCTCATGTCGCTTTGAGCTGTGACCTTTCATTGGGGTCAATGCTGGGGGAAACAGAACAGTACTCTTTAATTTTAGACCAAAGAACACGTCATCTACATGCTCCTATGGTCAGGCCTTTTAGTTTTATACTCTGATGTGAGAGACACTCATCCAAGAGTAGATAATACTTTTTATCTGTACAACGTTGTACTAACCATGTTGAATTTTGAAGCAGAGCTGCTCAAACAGAAACTGACAAGGAGAGGAGGGGAGGGAAGAGGAGCTCAGAGGTCCATGGGGCTCCCCAGCCTAGGCCTGTAACTCAGGGATGATACTCCAACACCAAACCTATCCTAGAATGTCCAGTAATTTCATAGTCCCTGCCATATGGCCACAAACCACGGTCATCCTGTTGAGGAAACCCGGTAACTTCCATGCTATGTTTGTTTGTTTGTTTGTTTATTGCTCGTTTGTTTTTATTACATCTTACTTTTTAAGTTATTTAATTTCTTTTTTATTTGGGTTTTGTCTGTTTTGTTTGTATTTTTACAAACATACAAATACAAAGAAAAGTCTAATTTTACCATGATTGTTTTTTTTTGGCTTTATTTTACTTAAAACTTTTCTTGCTCTTTTAACTTTTCCATTGTATTTTTTGTTTGTTTGTTTGCTTTAATTTCTTGAAAACAAGCTTGTGGGTGGGGCCTTTATTTTGAAGGCGAGCGGAAGCTCTCTGTGTTTTCGTCCAAAGACTCCGGTAGAACGGTTGGCGCAGCTCACGGAGCTAACTCCTTGTGTACCCGGATAGAAGCTCATCACAGCGACCCCTTCCAGCTCCAGACCGTTGAATAAACCGAACGGAACCGCGTTCAAGCATGAACGAGTCGGAGGGGCTCCGGTTCCGACGGCTGCAACGTCCACGCGTCATCACGGACGATCTGCCGGAGCACCGCCACAAAGGATCCGGGTAAGAACCGTTCAGAACCACGTCCCAGGCGGACCCATTAACCGCGACTCTGCCGTTACCGGTATGTCTTTGATTGATTATTGATCAGCTTAACAGCAGCTGTTTGTTTTATTGATCTTTTTGCCTACCTCAGAATTGTACTTAAGTACAGTACTTGAGTAAATGTAGGCTACCTAGTTACTTTCCTCGACTGAACTACTCCAGTTGTACATACAAAACAATAATAAAGTAATTTACAAAATGTCATTTGAGAGTCGTAACTAATGTCTTAATTAGTTTTTTTCTTTTTACAAAAACATTAGTAACCAAATATTAAACAAGAAATAAGAAAGAGCAACACGAATTGTGTTAAAAACCCACCTGAGCAGCTCAGTGGTGTAGCTGTGACGACGTAGGCCCTAGTTACGTGATGTTGTGATGCTTGTGTCTTTGTTTGTAAATCCTTCTGGTCATTTAGTTTTAGCAGTGAACACTGTATAAACATAAAAGGGCCTAAAAATAAGAAGAAAGGAAGGAAGGAAGCAAGTCAGCTGAAAAGGGAGGAGGCCCTAGGTTGGATCCCTGAGGAATTCCACCGAACATAACAAACCATGTACAGATTCAGTTGTTAAAGTGTCGACCGACTCTTTCTGTTGTCGTTTCCTCTTTCAGCACCTACAGCGGAAAGGTTTTCCAGGTCACTCTGCTCTTCCTGGGCGGCTTTCTGCTTCTTCCTCTCCTGGTTATCATCTTCATCCTGGAGTCTCCCATCCAGCCGGAAGTCTTCAGGTGAGCGCCCCACAAGACGTTCAGAGAAAAATTAGATTTATGTTTTTGGAAAGGCAGTGGATGAAATTATAACATCCACGTATATCAAACTACAATATATCAACCAGGTCACCAGTTGGCCCCAGTTTAGTAAATCACCACCTTCTCTTTGCCCCCAGTTTAGTAAATCACCACCTTCTCTTCCAGTTAAAACCACTTTTAAATGAAGAATTTTAAAATCAGATGTTCAGGACTTAAACACAGGGTTTTCACAGGTCCTCAACATCTAAAAATCTGAATTTTAAAACCTTAAAGTCTTAAATATGATTAAAAATTGATTTTGTTCAGGTTACGCTGATTATTATCAGTTGACTATTTTTATAAGGTCTCAATTAAATTCAGTTGCGCTTTTGTGTTTTGGGGACAATTTTGAGTTATAACTTTCTAAGAAATAATTTTTACTGGAAACAGCAGCATTGTAACAGTAAAGCCATACTTTTGTTAAATGCTTAGAGAATTAAGTTGTTCTATTTTAAGAAAATTGTAATATTTAATAATGAAATTTGGAATATTTTAATAATGCACTTGTATTGTTTTTAGAGAAAAATATAAATTTTTGGGTTGAGTGTTTTTTGTGTGTTATAAATTAATTGTAAAAAACGAGCTTTGAGAATAAATCTGTTAATTTGAAAAAATAGTTCAACATGTTCTAGAAAATAATTGTAATATTTCCAGAATAAAGTTGCATTTTGATTACATTAGAAACTCCAAATATATTGGGAATAAAGATGTGGGTGTTTGACTTTATTCTCATAATATTCCATTTTCATACGTTTCCTGCCCCCTGCTGGTTGTCTTGTGCACTGCAGACTGAAGGAGCCTCCGCTGATGAAAGGCTGCTGGGAGCCGAACCTGAAGCTTAGAGAGGCCCAGAGACTCTTTGAAGACCAGATCATTGGACCAGAGTCCATCGCCAACATCGGAGGTCGGTTTGTTGTTTCTGAAGAAACCCTCAAACAGCGTGACACGTTGTCGAGCATGTAGTGACACAACAGTCGCTGTGTAACCGTGAACATTTAAGAAACGTGTGAAAGTTTCCCACATGTGATGAAAGAGGATGATGATGATGCATGTTCAGCATTCACGGGTTGCACCGACCAATGTTTATAATTAAAACATGATGCGTCGTTATATGATTATTGTTGAGTTGTTGTCTTTAGAGAAACCAAACAGTAAAAACCATCAGCAGTGGTGAAGAACATGGAAAAGACTGAGAGCTGACAGACACTTGTCTCCCCAGATGTTTTGTTTGCAGGAACAGCTGATGGGAAAGTTGTGAAGCTGACTGGTCGAAGGATGCACACGGTGACGAGACTCGGAAAACCGCCCTGTGGTGAGACGGGTTTAATTAAGTTTAACGTCCAGTTTAGTTTGAGGTTCAGGTTAGTTTAGGCTACTTTTAAAGTTTAGTTTAAGGTTAAGTCACCTCAGTTGAATTAAATTTAGGGTTACGTTGGCTTTAGTTTGATGTGGTTTAATTTAGTTATTGTGATTAGTTTGTTTTGGTTAAATGTTGATAACGATTTATTTTAACATATTTTAGTTTTGTTTCAGACTGAGTTTTCAACCTGTAAAAAACGTATGAAACTAACGCCGCCATCAGTGGATGGCGATTCTCGGGTATGGTAGAAAGACATTATGTAAGCGCAGTCCATTTACCGTTTAACGTAACTAAAGTATATTAAACAAGCAAAACAAACTTTACCAACAAACAAAAACTACCTTAACTTTTCATTTGGAAGTTTAGTTTAAGTCGCCCGATGCCAGCTGGGATTGGCTCTAGCCCCCCTGCGACTCCGTTCGGGACTACGCGGTATAGAAAATGAGATGAGTTTAGTTTAAGACTTGATTTCAGGTTAACTTTAGTTTACTTTTACAAATGTAAACATGAAAGTAACTAAAATAAATTAAAAATCGGTTCAGGAGTTCGGTTTTAAGGTTGATTTAGTTTAGTGTGAAATGTGTATTCCTCTTTAGTTTGAAATGTTTTGCTTTAAGCTTGAGATAATTTCAGTTGAAAGCTCAGTTAAGTCCAAACTAACCAGTGACGTGCGGTGATGTTGACAGCTGGTGAGGCACTGACTCTTTTACAGTCAGATTTACAAATACAAATTGTCTGTTAACAGACAATACGTTATGTTTTATATCTCTCAGAACTACATTTTATACATTATCCAGATTATGGCAAGGCAGAGCATATAATCAGAGTGTTTGAAAGCATTTTATTTGCGATATATAGAGGGACAGCGACACACTGTTTGCATCGTATACAGGTTGTGAGGATTACACGATCCACCGAGAGGCACAGCAAAGTGCTGCCTCATCACGAATCTCCTCCATGTATTTGAACGAGACATACGGAAATTCTGCTATTCTTTATTGAAAATATGGGATTCGAACGGCAAAAGGGCCTACAACACACACCAGCCGACAAATCCTGCCTCCCCTGCCTTACCTGCCTCCCCTGACCCCACGTCACTGAAACTAACTAAACCTTTTGGTTGTAAGTGAAGTTTAAGACCCAGATTTGTTTGTGTGAATTACATTGATTTTTCAACTTAAAAAAGGATTTTTGTTCAAAAGAACCTAAACCTTCATTAATCAAATCGAACTAAAACCATCTAAACTGAACCGTTACATTCCAGGTTTAGTGGAGTTCACTTCAGGTGAACTGTGACCAGAACAGAAACGGAGTTAAAATGTTCATGTTGCTTTAAGACGTCGACCTTTAACCACCACCGACGCTTTTTCCTCTGTTTGTTTTGGTTGCTTCACTCTGAAGTTTAAACCTTCAACTCCACGGTTCTGTCCAGTGTTTCTCAACCGCAGAGTGAAGAAACAAGAAAACTGTTTACAGCGCGACGTGCTGATGGAGGCCTGTTTCCGTTTCCTGTTTCAACACACAGCGTAGCGGAGATCCGAAATGTGCCCACAAACTGTCTGACGGCTTCTACAGTCTTCTTCTTCTACTGGGTTTTGTTTGAAATTCATTAAAGTTTTAATAACTAATGTGTTAAAGTCACTAAAAGTAAACTAACAAACTAATTTAATGGAACTTTTCATTTGTAATGTTACTCAACTTTAGTTTAAGGTTTGATTTTCCCCATTTTGTTGGTTTTGGTTGTAGTAAATTTTTTCCATCTGATTTGTCAAACTTTAAATGAAACTCATCCCTTTCCAAGAGGAAACTTCCACAGTAAACTTGGAACATTAAGGAGGAACCAGTGAGGGTTTCCAAACAGGAAGTCAGTTTTATTGTGAAAGTCGCTGCAGAGCACAGACTGAGCCCCCGTACTACCCACGTTTTAGCTGAGCTCTGTTAAATTGTCAGTGCAGTCAGGTGTGAGTGAGCCGCTGTTTTCACCCAGCGTTCAGTCTGAGCGATTCAAAGGACCCCGAACCTGAGTCACCAGAACTGGGGCCATGTCCTGGAGCCTGTCCTGGAGCCAGTCCTGGAGCGTGTCTGGTGGTCAGGCCTTGACCAGAGCCTCGCTCTAGGGATGTGGCTCATCACCCAGCTCCAAAGTTCTGTTGTGCCAATGTTGACATGCTTGGCTTTGTGTCCTCAGGATCCAGAGAGGAGGAGCCCAACTGTGGGAGGCCACTGGGGATCAGAGTCGGACCCAACGGAACTCTGTTTGTAGCCGACGCCTACCTGGGTCTGTTTGAGGTCAACCCCACTACAGGTCAGTTTGTTAGGAACACCTGTCAGGCTAAGTGAAAATCACCTGCAGTGATAAACAGCTTTGTAGCGCAACTGTCTTTTGGTTCTGTGCAGGCGAGGCAACCAGGTTGGTGTCAGGGGGCCAGCTGGTTGGCGGCAGGAAGCTGTCATTCATCAACGATGTGGCGGTGACGCAGGATGGGAAGAAGGTGTACTTCACTGACTCCAGCAGCAGGTGGCAGCGCAGAGATTACCTGCACCTCATCATGGAGGCCACGGCCGACGGACGGTACCACACGCCGCTCATGTTCCAGATATTTCCACAGTTATGCACATTGGTTTTAAATGATTCCCCATAAATTCTCTGCAGACATTTCAGTGCGAGTCGTCCTTGTTTTAATGTGTTGCTCATAAAAACCTGTGTTTATTGGTAACTTCAGTATCATGTTGAAGGTCTAATGCGCCATTTTATTATTCCATTTACGAAAGTGAGAAATTGTAAACTGTAAATATTTAATATATTGTCATTATTTTTATGGATGCATGCACATTTCCTGTTTCACATTAAAAGCAGCTCACTTTTTGTGCAGAGACAGATTTGTTGTGTTCTTCCTTTTCCCAGAGTGCTGGAGTACGACACTGAGAGCAAAGAGCTGACGGTGGTGATGGAAAACCTTCGCTTCCCAAACGGCATCCAGCTGCAGCCCGACGAGGAGTCGGTGCTGGTGGCAGAGACCACCATGGCCCGGATACGCAGGTGACTCATCTAGCCCTGCAGGTCACATGGTTATTTATTTACCAGGACCCATTCAGTTAACAGGAAGACATTTATTCTGTTGCATTCTCATTTCTCAGAGCGTCACGTCTCCGATATGAACACTAAAAACAGGTCGTGGCCCTTTTTAAACTACTGAGCTGGAGTTGGCTGTGACCAGTGTCAAGTAAAATCGGTCAGAGGTCAGTGCAGTTACAGTCGTTTCCTGGATATAATCAGGTTTTTAAGTAAAGCTGCTTCACATACAGATAATGAATTTAAAAAAAATCTGTGGTCACCGTAAATAAAATGAAATAAGACTTGTTTTTGGACAGAACGCTCTCCAAAACTAAACCTGGAAGTAAAGAAAACTCACATACTAAATGAGATAAAAATGTTCGTACTTTATTTTTAATAATTTGCAAAGTACAAATATCGAAATAAAACAATCAAATGAAAGGTTCTCTTACAAAAGCACTTCAGAAAATAAAATAAGGAAAAAACTTGTAACAGGAAGTGCTTTACAAAATAAGATGAAATAAAATAAAAACTGCAGGCCACGGCCCGTGGGCATGTTTTAGTGACCGAGTGGCGCGTTGTGATATGATACAGAAGATGATGTGATGCACCAACAATACGATGTACGAGAACAGAACACCATGAACTGAGGCATTAAGCCAGACCGGAGCTGCTGCTCCTCCCAGTAACAGGGGTTTTTGGATCTGGTGCCCACAGTCAAATACTGCGAGTGAACAGGTGAAAAACCCGGATCAGAACAGAGTCTTTGTTTCTGAACCAGGGTCCATGTGGCTGGCCTCAATAAAGGTGGGATGGACACGTTCATGGACAACCTGCCCGGCTTTCCTGACAACATCCGCCCGAGCTCGACCGGAGGTTACTGGGTGGCCATGTCTGTGGTGCGGCCAAACCCCGGCTTCTCCATGCTGGACTTCCTGTCCCAGAGACCCTGGATCAAGAAGCTCATCTTCAAGGTAAAACACACAAAGGACAAGGAGACCAGGTGGAGGTTTCCCTGGTTTCTGAATCATTTCACAAATGTAACCAGAAACAGGGTACCCTAGGTGTCCAGGCAGAGACAACAGTGGGCGCTCGGGGGTCCACCTACAGATTACTGTGTGTTATCTTTCTACGGGGACACCTGAGAGCCTGTCTCACTGGACACCCGTGGACCCCATGTGCCCATGTGGAGACAGTAACTGACTAGAGACGATAAGGACATCCAGGTGTCCATGTTGAGACGATAACACACCGACCTGTGAACATTTTCCAGTCTGACTGGCCGGTCTGGTGTCAGACCCTGTCCACCGACAGAGCTCGTCCTGCATACTCTGTCCGACCATAAAGTTGTCCAGGAATATGTCCACCCAGTTATGACATCAGTCGTTCAGACTGGAAAACATAAACTAAAGTCATTAAAAAGTTGTGACACTTGGTTCTGTTAAAGCACCTGATTTATTTCTTCCTCTCCTGTGTCCTTATTGTTACTGTAATCCCTCCTTATATTCCTCGTTTCCTGTATCCTTACTTTGCTAAATACTTTTCTTTCCTTCCCTCCTACTTCCTTCCTTTCTCCCCCCCGTTTCCCCTCACAGCTCTTCAGTCAGGAGGTGCTGATGAAGTTCGTCCCTCGCTACAGTTTGGTGGCTGAGCTCCATGATGGCGGCATCTGCACCCGAAGCTTCCACGACCCCAACGGCCTGGTGGTGGCCTACATCAGTGAGGCCCATGAGCATGATGGGAGTCTGTACCTGGGGTCCTTCCGCTCACCGTACATCGCCAAACTTGACCTGCACAAGGTGTAAAATACTGAGGCACTGGACGGACGTACACGTGAGTTCCTGTGAGCACGACACAGCAACGTCATGATGTACCAGGAAGTGAACAAACCCTGACTTGGATGGAGGACGCTTTTTTCTTGACAACTGTTTGATATTTTACCGTTAAATTACACATTCACAGTCTCCAGAGGATGAATCCTGACTCGGTGACTTGTCCTGGTGGCTCAGAATCACATCGGTGTGATGGTTGTTTTAGGTTGTTTTACACGTCATACCCTGTTTTCAGGCTGGGTGTCGAACTTTAACATGCGTTTGCTACCGACTTATCATAAACTCCTGGAAGCTGACTTTAAGCATCCAATTGATTAGGCTGCGACTAACGAGCACTTTCAGTCTGGATCGTCCATAAGCTCATATATTCATCTTATTAACATGTACGACAAAGAAAAACAGCACATTGTTACATCTGACGTTTGGCATTTTGCTTAAGAAATGACTACAGTGATACTTTGATAATCAGAATAGATCGGTTCCTGATTGAAACCAGTTTTCCAACGATACCCAGCCTGAATCGTACGTACTGGTGAAAAACTGACTGGTTCACTAGTTGGTTGGCGTAGTGGCTAGTTAGCTTGCCAGTTATTGTGTTTCGTTGTTGTTGTTGTTGTTTTGGGGGCCGGTTGCTGTTTCTTTTGAAAACCTCCTACTTAGGCAACATTATTGAGGCAGTTTCCACCTAATTTTGTGTCATGTTTGCTAGCCTGAGCCAACAAGTGTGCACTGTGTTTAAAAAACAAAAGCAAATGTTTTTAAAGTTTTGGAAATGTGAGGATAAGTGTCATATGAAAGTGCACCTCGTTTCCAGCTTGTTGCTTCTTTTTGGACCAGTGAAGATGTGTAACAGCGTTGTGACGGTGCCTTTCCCGCCCCTTGCTGCTGCAAAAACTGCTAATACATCCGAGTTTCATTACTTTGAACGACACCTTTAGCACCTGTAAGACGTCCATGTTTGTTTAGACACCAGACACGCCAGGTCTGAATCATGGCTGCACCCTGGATGCTGCTGAAAACATCAGTATTCTTCTGCTAACATGCTAAATGTTACTTATGCAACATGCAGGTCAGTGTAAACTGCATCTTGCCTGAGATTGTTGCTCATTAACTGCACTGTTAATTAAAACTGTACAACATTGTAATGTCGAATAGCAAAAGAAACAATTATTGTGAAAACTTCTTTTTCTGGACTCGCACACTGATCACGGTGAGGACACCGCATTCACTGGTGCTGCTGGTCTCTGGACCGGGTTGGGGGCGTAACACAGGCATATAAACCCACCAGCTGCAGCCTTTAAAGCTCAGATTCACAGTTAGTGATGGTCAGGACACACATGGTTGCCAGGACAACGAGCGTCAGGACTTCTGCATCCTGAAGACAAACAGGACCAGTTTCTGACAGCAGCTGCATCTGGAATCCTGCATGAAGTTGGTCATGATCATGAGAAAACATCAGATTAATTTGAGAGGAGATAATTAAATCAAAGTAATTGGCCTGAAAACGGGCTTCTGTTTCTGAGACCACTGAAGTTTGTTGTTTTGTGCTCTTATTGTGTCGTGTCGGAATTGTTCGAGCCAGGTATATTTTTTTTGCTAGCAGACGTTTTACTGCGAGCTCCTGCTTGTGCCCAAACGCAGGATGTCGCTGTTAAAGCTGTGATCCACTATTTCTCGCATCAGATTGGTGTCGATGTGCTTCCTTCTTGATACATGACAATAAGCTGATGTATTATCTGTGTTTGTGTGCAGTGGATGAAGCTGTTCTGAAACACTGAATAAAATGAGGTTTTAACTGACCCGACTTCTGAGCCATGCTGCTCCCTGAAGACGCTGACCAACCACAGGGGGCACAACTGTACTCACCCGGTGTGTGAGCATAGAGGATTCAAACACTTCCTGTGGAGGTCAAACTGGAAGACGGCAGGTCGTGGGTCTGACCTAGGCTATTTGCTCACTTTGTTCTTTACCTACCACATTCATCTGACAGCTGCTACTTCCTTTTCAGATTAAAGGTCTCCACTAAAGTCTGTGCCCACTTTATGAAGCCACTGGTTTCCAAATGACACCTTTTAGCAGTTTGGGCATCGACGTGGCTTCCAACACAAATAAGGAGCTGCTTGAAATGTCAGTGCTGCATTTGTTTGTGTGAATATAAAAACATTTAACTACTCAGGTTTGAGCAAGTGTGCTAGCTCTCTGCTACAGTGAAAAGGCTTGAGAAAGAAATGCAGTGGGATGCAGCTGTTTGCAACCCAAGTGGCTTTAACATCAGTGCAACATGTGACAACACCTTCACTACATCAGGTATACAAATATTATCACCCAAGAAATGTCGTCTTTGAGAGACGTCCCTAAAACTGTGGTTGACTTAACGGTTCACAGTAGGAAGTTAGACCCTTCTTTGTTCTCTGGTTGTTTTCAGATCAAGTTTTTCTTCTGTTCTGTGTCCATCAGTCAACAGCAGTTTCATTTATTGTTAATATGCAGTAATACAGTGGCTGTTGTGCACATACAAAAGTCTCAGAACAAGCAGGAGTATCACATTAACCACAGCAATGTCATGTGTGCAGTGTTCACATCAAAGAAGATTGTTGTACCACACCACTGACTCTGGTTGCATTTGAGGAGCCACGGGTTCTGCTGACAAACAGCCACTCCGCCGTCTGACAGGGCCTCTTGTGCAGGTAGCCGTTATAGAAGTCAGCTGGCGTCAGTCTATTTTTCAGGATCAGCGACTTGAATCCCACCCAGCCGTCTTTGCAGCATACGGCCAAAGTATTGGACTCCTTCTGATAGGCCAGGGATCCTGGGACAGGTTTCCTCCTGGGATCTGATAATGAAATGTGACATCTTCCTGCAAAGTCCAGAAGTTTTATTGACCTACCCATCCACGTGGTCCTCAAAGGTATCCGGGACCCAATGGCACGATACAGATGACCGATTTGGTCACAGGTCTGTTCCTCCCACTGCACCCAGCTCATGGACGTTTTGATTTTGGGGGCAGATGTTGCCCCTGCCTGTTCTTGTTCTCGTTTATGTGCCAGTCTCTCAGGCAGTGACTTCAGTGTACCAAGCAGCAGATGTGCTCCCTTAGTGGCGAGAGCAGCTCCAAGCTCATCAGCAGTACAGTTGTCAGGGACCTGGTGGAGCTCCTGGTTGAGAATGGGGCCCACATCAAACCTGTAAGGGCGGATCTGGATGATGGTGACTCCTGTCACAGTGTCGCCCTGCAAAACGGTGTGGAATACGGGTGCGGGACCTCGCCATCTCGGCAGCAGGCTGGGGTGAACGTTTAAAACCCCGTACGGAAACTTGCTGATTAGCCTCTCAGGGAGCAAGCAGCCGAAAGACACCACCACGCCAACATCAAACTGTCCGTCCACGCTGTCATGGGGCCAGCTGTGGACCTGAAGGTGGTTCTGCTGAGCAAAGCTCTTCACCGGGACGTCACCGGGCAAAGTAACGACTTCTATGGACTCCACAACCCCTTCGCTGGAGCTCCGACTGGATGCCAGGAGTTTTAGAGATTCCACGGCGAACTGATCAGTGCCAAAGAACAAGAGCCTCCACGGGGGTCCGGATGATGGCATGAGTCTGAAGAACCGCCACTGCCGTCCATCTGCCGCCGTCCTCTGTATACAGCAGCGCTGGAAGTGGTTACGGATTCTCTGAAAAGCTCTTCTGCCATTCGACAACATAACGCAGGCCGTCGCTTTATTTAAAAATATCAAGTGGTCAAAGTGTTACTGGTGACACTGGGAAACCCGAGACTGCAGTGGAGCTGCCCTTGAGTCAACATAAGAAGCCGCCATGTTTTACAGAACTTTAGTTTCCTGAAGCAATTAGCCCACATTCAAGCATGCGCAGCCAGTATTGGCCAGTCATTGAGCCATTAAACCAATCACAGCCACTGGGGACTACAAACAAAATTA